ATTCTTATGTAGACACCCTAGACAAATTAAATGAAACCCAACTTCCAAGTATTGAAAACTTTTATGATAAACTTAAAGATACTCCTTTAGATCCTTCAGATTATGAACGAGCTATTCATATTTGGAATTTGTTCCATTGTCAAAACCTAAGGGATTACACTAAGATATATTTATTATCAGATGTTCTCATATTGACGGACTTTTTTGAGGCTTTTCGAAATGTATCCCTAATATATATGAATTAGATCCTGCACAATACTTTACAGCACCTGGTTTATCTTGGGATGCAATGTTGAAATTTACAAGGGTTAAATTAGAATTATTAACAGACATTGAAATGTTACATTTTTTCAAAAACAGTATTCGGGGTGGAATATGTCATTGTAGTGTTCGAAAAGCTGAGGCTAATAATCCATTTCTTCCAAATTTTGATTCTACGGAACCCAATTCGTTTATTATGTATTTGGATGCAACTAATCTTTATGGACATAGTATGTGTCAATGTTTACCTACAAGTGATTTTTCTTGGATGACTAATGAAGAAATAGATTCTCTTGATGTTTTATCCATACCAGATGATTCTGAATATGGATATGTATTTGAAGTAGATATCAAATATCCCCTAAATTTACATAAAAAACATAATGAACTACCTTTTTTAGCTGAAAATATATGTCCACCAGATTCATATCAAAAAAAATTAATTTGCAGTTTGAATCACAAAGAAAAATACACAATTCATTATAGAAATCTCAAACAAGCAATTGAAAATGGACTCAATGAAATTAAATTTCACAGAGGTATCAAATTTAAACAATCTGCATTTCTTAAACCTTATATAGATTTAAATACAGAAATGAGGAACAAATCTATAAGTAAAATGCAAAAGGACTGTCATAAATTATATAACAACGCTATTTATGGCAAATCTTTAGAAAATATTGATAAACGAGTAGACATACGATTATTAACCCATTGGAAAAATATTAATAATAAACAGGGAGCTGAATCACTTATAGCTAAACCTAATTTCAAAAGTTCATTAGTGTTCAACGAAAACCTAGTAGCAATTCAGTTAGAAAGGGTAAAAGTAACATACAATAAACCTGTTTATGTTGGTTTCACAGTATTAGAACTTTCAAAAACTGTAATATATAATTTTTATTATCAGTATATTAAACAAAAATATGGAGACAATGCAATTTTATTGTACACTGATACGGATAGTTTAATTTTACATGTTAAAACAGATAATTTTTATAAAGACATTCAAGAAAATCTTGAACGATTCGACACTTCTAATTATGATGAAAATAATGTTTATAACATTACAAGAAATAAATCCGTGCTAGGTCGTATGAAAGATGAATTTGCTGGACAACCGATAGTCAGCTTTCTAGGCACAGGTGCTAAAGCATATTGTGTTAACTTGAAAAATAGATCTGAGAAAAAAGAAAAAGGAATAAAAAAATATGTAGTTCAAAATTCAATTAGGCAAGAAGATTATAAAGACGTAGTTGAAAAGTCTGATATTAAATTTAGAAAAATGAATATCTTCCATTCAAGTTTGCATAACATGTACACACAATTAAAAAATAAAGTTGCTTTGTCTCCTAAAGATGATAAGCGTTATATTATTCAAGGAATTTTTAGGACTTTGGCTTGGGGTCATAGAGACATTAATATATTGAGCGATGATAATATTTGTGATGATGAAGACGTTAATGACGTAATTAAAGTGCTTCAAGGATTAGCTTGTGATTGCTATAAATTGTGATAATTATTAAAGCATATAATCATTTGAAAGTAATCATGCTACCAGCAGGACTCTTGTTTCTTTCTGCATTTTTAAATAGTACTTTGTTTATACAAGTCAATTACAATGTAAGAGAGACGTTTATATGTTTATCAGCTAACAATGTAAAAAATGATACATGGCCATCAGCATGGAAAAGAATGGATTATTTGAATAATGGTCTTTATTCTTATAAACTTGGAAAAAATAATGATAATTCTTCTAATGTTGATTACAAGTTACGGATTTATTTTGTAGATAGAAACTATATAGAAACCACGAATTATATGTAAAGTCCATTCCAAAATATTTCGTTGACTTCACGGCTATAAAACCCTACCATAAATTAGATAGCTATTAGCCTCTATTGTGTAGGTACCAGGTTCTTTTATGTAGGTACCGGGTTCCTTAATACCCACTCAAAGGTTTACAGGTACGGATTTTGTGCCCATTATAATGAAAACGAAAAAGGCGTTTCATAATATTATTTATTTATGTTATAATCTTATGCTATCTTAATAATTACCAAAACTTAATATCTAATACAATATAATACAATACACAATTCAACCAAACCTAATCTATATTTAGTTCCGTTTCACTGTCACTGTCATCTTTATCTATGCCTAAACTAATTATTAATGGCTTAACATTAATACCTATTGAATTATAGGTTTCTTCAACTTTTATAACGTGATTGACAGAATTTTTCCAGCTTTGAACTGGAATATTATCTACACATTTTCTAATTAAATCTATTACAGCAGTACTAAGTGTAGGAGAGGTGTTTTCTCTCCTAACCATTGCCTTCAATTCATGCCAGATATGTTCTATTGGATTGAAAATACAATAATATGGAGGAAGACGCAAAACTGTATGACCACAAGCGCTAGCAAGATCGTCACAAATATATTCTTTTTTAACATTATATGATTTCAAAACGTTTAAAAGATCTTTCTTTGTATAATTTTCTTCGAAATACATATACATTTTCCATCATATATTTTTGAAGTTCTACTTTTGTATTACTTGCATTGGGCACTTTATTTTTTTGACGGCTGTGGTAACTAGCGTTGTCCATCACAATTATACTGTTTTCTGGTATGTTCGGAAGAAGGCGATTCTGAAACCATTCTTCAAATAATTTTGCATCGGTATCTTGATGATAATCTAATGATGAATTGGCTATTTTTTTTGCGGATAGCAGCAAAGAGTTTGGAACAAAACCATTTTCTGATCCGGCATGCAAAATTGTAATCCTCTGGCCTTTATTTGAGGGTGCTTTGGTTTGACATTTGGAGGTTGAGTCGCTCCATCCTCTTTGGGGAGTGTCATGGGTATCAAACCATGTTTCGTCAAGATATATTATCGGACGATTTTCTGCCCTATATTGTTTTATGGAACTTAAATATTCTCGACGCCATGCTTGTAATCGCTGGGATTCCATTAGCACTTGCCTCTTATTAATGGTTTGATATTTGAAACCCATTGCTTTCACAATTCTCCAAAGGCTTGTTCTGCTACATAATATATCAGTTTCGTCTTCTATAAGTACCTTTTTTAGAGAATCTATTGTAGGTATTATTTGTTTACTGTACAAATCATAAATTTTCCTACGAATCAACTCTTTATCCGCTTCTTCAACCTTTCTTGACTTGCCGCTGTCACACCGTTGCTTCCTTGGCTGGATGCGTTTGGCTACGATATCTTTAACCGTAGATAATGGAGTTTTGGTTAAAACGGATGATTCACTCACACTTTGATTAGGATTATAGCCTCTCTGCAGAAGGGTTAAATAAACGTTCCTCACAATTTCCTTGGCATCTAGCGATAAATGTTTTTTTTTTGAAATACCACTTCCGGTTGCAATACTACCATCATTTGCCCATGGACGCCACATTTTTTTTGTCAATATAACAGCTCTAGTTCTGCACAAAGACTAAATAATTTAACTAAAACATTCACCCACATTTACATGTACATCTCACCTAGGCAGGTATAATAAATAAAATCAACCCGGACCTGCTCACAGGTAGTCGAAGTTTGTGGTTGAGGGTATCATCAACATTTTATTGATACTTGAAGAGTCAACGAATTATTTTGGAATGGACTTTAAAGCCATGTGAAAATAATTTAGATGTGAGTCTAATAATTTTCTCTATTATATCATTTCTATCATTTATTACTACATTATGTTTTCTTTTATATCATGTATATTTGTATTACAAATAAAAGTTTTTGAATTTTCATTTGTGTGATTTTTCCTTGACCAACTCATCCAAAATTTATGTAAAAGGTGAAAAAAGAGAAGGTATACTAATACTCACCTCTCAAAATTTTCATCATGTCTACTTTGTCTTGATATATAAATGAAAAAATGAAAAGTGTTGCTATCATTCAGTTTCAAACTTTTGTCTGAGTATCAATAATAAAATGTTCCAAGCAACCAACTACTATCAACAACCAAAAAAAATGGAAGAATTTGGTAAGAACCGAAATGGAACCCTAATTGGAGAAAAAAAGTACTACATCAACAAATCACAATCCAAGTGGGTCAGCGTTGGATTTTCCTTGGAGAGAAAATATATTCCCGTTGTTAAGCTAGGAGGATACAAAAATAAGCAAAATGTGATTTTTGATGAGGAACAATGGATATCCTTTTTGAATAACCAAAAAAATTTGTTAAGTTTTGTTTACTCTAAAAGTTCGGGATGGCAGTCTTTGTCAGGAAATGGCTACGAAATTCAGTTTGTGTTTATTGGCGAATCAAGAATAATCAAAATTACTCAAGATGGTGGAAACGAAATTTTTTTGGCTGGTGAAACTATAAATGAACTCATAAATCTGGTTAACTTGATAAAGTATCGTTTTGATCTACTTAAGAGTCAAGAATTTTTAAATTATTACAACAGAGTAATAAGCATGGTATCCAATAAAAATGGTGATTTGAACAAAAATGTATACGAGAATATTTCACCTTCAACTAACCCAAATAGTGAAAACGTTTCCTGTGTTCTGGAATTGCTAATTTTCCATTCTGATTGTATTATAGAAGATGTGGAAACATATGTATGTAACGAATTTGTTAATAAATTGGAAAATAAAAAGTATTAGTACCAACATACCTACTCTTTATTACCTCCCTCCACTAAACAAGTAATATTTAAGCTTCAGGAGCTGTTTTGATATTATATAACTAGTCAAGATGTGGTTAGCTTATGTACAAGAAACTCCAACCTACAGCTTGACAACAGCAGTTGAAAATTTGGCACAACTTTTTAGTAATTTGGAATTTGACGCGGAGCATGAAGCTAATTGTGGATTTGAAAGGTTCAAAACGATCGAAGAATGTATGGAACTTGCAAGAAAATATAGCAAAGCGGAGGAGGCTTGTAATACCTACTTACATACTTTGGATCTGACAACATTCCTTACTACCATAAAACACATGGATTTTGCTCATTTTTTAGATAAAGTGAAAAGGTTTGCTCCGAAAGAAATTATTCAGGAAGTGTTTAATAATAAGTTGAATATGTAACTTATATCATTATCAAATAAAATAAACAAAAGTTCAAAAAATAAGTGTTTTATTCAATCATTATAAAATTATTATATAAATAGAATACATTACTAAGTGCACACATACATTGTGATTTCAGATGGTAAAAACATTCAGGCTGTCCTTTTTGAAGAGCCGGCTTATCTTCAAATTCCAGAACAGGCTTCAATGAGTATTTTCTAATGTATTCGGACTTCTCTTTCCCTTTTACGTAAACATTGTCTACTTTTCCTGTTAGATTTTTGACAATGTCTGCAAACTTATAAATTGGAGTGTATCCCTCGTTCCAACAAATACAATGATGATTAAGAATTAACCAATTTGCTTGTTTACATAAATCAGGTGGTAAATGTTGAATATCAAATGGTGGTCTAAAAATATAGTGGCATATTTTGGTACCATCATAGGCAGCTAGTTCCTTGGGTATAAATTTGTTATTTTCTATTGTAAATCCTTGCACATCCAACACTAGTTTATTCATATTTTCATATTGGAAAATGCTTTAATCATAAACTTTTTTTCTGAGTATTCTTGTATTTGTTTTTTAAATTGCTGTAACTTCTTCATGTAACGAGATAGTTGTACATCCAATTCGGTCTTCATGATACTGATAATTTGAGATAAATATCTGATTTATATAAACATAAAAGCATGCGCATTATAGCTGCTTTACTATTTTGGTTAGAGGATTATAGCTGAATATTTTATCATGAAGGATCAGACAGTATGCAGAAGTATCCTTTTTGACATTGGTGCTTGTTTCAAATTCAACTCTCATGACAACAGATCCTGTTTGAATTGACTCTTTCTGATGAGAACAGTCGATGTGTGTTATGGGAGAAATACTTTTGAAATCAGTGGGATTAAACACTGGCTCCGTTGCAATTCCATAATAGGAATGTCTGAAGTTTGCAAACATTTCGTATAAGGCAGAAAAATTATTGTCTTTGAAATTTAAGTGCAAATCATGATAAGGATAACGTTCAGAATTTAAAAATACTCTTATATTAGTTAGATCAATATCATCAAACTGACTCATATCTTTTTTAACTTGCCCTTTCCGATCTATTTGAAAGGCTACTACAACATGACGAGGAGATTCGAGTTTATTTGTCGTTTCCACTGGCCAGGTATGTCTAGTTGTTTCTGATATAGACGAATATTCAACAATTTCCCAACTTCTAAATCCTAGAAAGATTTCTTTGTTAGATTCTAGTATTTTTGATAATGCCAGTTGTTGAGGTATGTCTACTGTTATGTGTGGAATTTTCCAATACAATTTATCGAAGGAGATCATTGGAGTTTCATCAGTAATTACTTTGGTCTCCAAATCATCTTTAAACAAAACTGCATCTAAATCATTACTTGCTCTAATAAGAACTAATTCTTGTTTCATATTGATTATAATTTTTTTATAATCTTCGAAAAATCCTAAAAACATTTTTAGTGGTATGGAAACACAAAACTTTCCATTATCATCCACCAAAATTCGTTCGGCCTCTTGTCTTTTTGGAAACCAACCTGCATTCTGTAGTTTTAGACTTTCATTAGTATTGTGTGAAAGATAACCTTTTAGAGTAGAAGCTAATCCGACATTTCTCACAGAGTCTATAGTGACTCCGTTTAACTCATAACGAATTTCTCTAAAGAGAAAAGCAATACCGTTATTAACAAATCTTAACCTTTTTGTATAGGTTCCTTCATTATTGACTAATTTTCCTTCAATGTAAAGTAAGCTTTCTGATGGTAAAGTAAATGTATCAAGCTCTTGAATGGGTATTCGTATTTCATCATTGTAATCAAACTTTGAAGAGATAAATGGTTGGTAGGTGTGAAGTTCGGAACTAACAATTGAATTGTCTACGTAAAGTTTTTCGTTAACATTTAAAATGTCCATTATATTAAAACTTTAAATCCTAAAGACGTGAGAAATTGATGATTTTCCCGTGTCAACCCCGGTTCACGTTTTCCTTGTTAATGAATTTGTTTTCAGATTTTTTTCTTTTATAAGATTTTTTTTCAAATAAAGGTAAAGAGTGGATAATGGAACTTCTATTATATCTAATAACCATTTCAAATACTATCTGTTTTTAAATGTAACCTAACAGTTATAGTTTCACCTCTAAAACTGATAAGATCTCCGTCCTGATCGACAACTTTTACGGTTATGTTGTTTATCGCTTTAACGCTGACTGGAAAATATAATATGGGTAAAGGTGATTCTACTATTTTATACCCTGGAGCTACAGCTGGATAAAATTGATGAATTATATGAACAGGTTTGCCATTGTTGAATGATCCCACACAAATATTACAATCAATGCAAATTGCATTCACCTTAGTTATATTTGCAACATAGTCTGCATTATCCAATGTATTGGGTTCAACTAATCTATTTTTGAAACTCAATAATTTCCCTATTGAATCATCCTTTGTGAAATCGATGCGTCTACTACACATTATATTACATTTAAGGGTATTAACATTTGGTAGCAAAAAAAAAAAACTACATTTTCGCTTCCAAAAATGCCTGTAATCTCGCGTTTTAAGTATGTTTCTATATCAGTAATATCATAAGTTCCATCCGGTATAGTTATTATTTTATCATCTATGTAAAATGTATTATGACCTGATTCAATATTAGGAATGGTCATGAAAGTTTCAAAATCTGCTAGCCCCAAGTAGTATTGTTTGTCATCATCTAAATATATTGGTGGATTAAAATCTGCAGATAATATAGAATCGTTTCCTGATATCGCAATAGTTGTAGACATTGGAACTTGTACGATAATGTTTTTTCCTAATAGAACATCAAGCTTATATATTACTTTGCAGAAAAGAGAATGCTAGTTGTCCACAGTTGACTGAATCATATTTTTGTTTATTTTCATAGGTGTAAAATACATTTGTTTTACCATTCGAATTAAAATATCTCACCAGTTCAAGAGGTGGTTTAAGGTTGCCATAACTATCAAAAAATATGGCTACATCTTTATTTTTGATGTAAGCTGTCCAATGAGTACCACCATGGTGTTTGCTATCTAAATTAACTATACCACATTCTACCTTTCGAATTTTGTTTGGAAGATCATCACGCATAAAGACACCTCTAAAATATGGTATTTTGATTTTTTTGATATATTTCAATAAATCAATATTGCTAAGTGCTCGTCGTGGTAATTTTATTTGAACTTTTTTTTTGGATTTTTTTTTTTCAATGGATCCACCTTTAAATGGTTTAATGTATAATCCCTTTCCTTTAATCCGTTTATTTTTTTTTAAACCCAGTCCTTTTCCTTGTGTTAGGTTTTCTATAGCTTTATTATGACGTTGAAGTTCCTCCAACTGTTGTCTGGATGCTTTAGCATCGTTTACTGCTTTGGCAATCGACGCGGCACCGCCTCCCAAGGCGCCGATGGCACCCAAAATAGGAAGTAAAAATGGTAAAAAACCACTAATTTTTTTGGGTGTTTTTATAACACATTTTTTTTTTTAATTTTTTTCATACCCATTCCAAGCTTGCGTTTTCCTTTCATTATACCAGCAACCATCAATGCAGCGCTTTGATCAGCCTCGTGTCTTTTTGCTAAATCGTTAGATTGAAAATATGCTATATCATGTTCCTGACATGCAACATCCAACGGATTTATACCACTATCACCCCTAGCTAATCTTTTTTCTAACTCAGTTCCTGGGCCACAATAGTTATATCCGCCTGGTATATGAAGCTCAAATGGAAGCTTATTAATTAATTTGTTAACTAAACCTGAACCTTTTTTAAGTTTCTGGTTTTTAGTAATATTGTGTATGATCATTAAAGAGAATAATCCGATACTGAATCAAAATTCAGCGTGACTTTGTTATAAATACTTCCATACTTAGGAGAAGGACGTCAGTAATATTAAAACATGAGGATTGAAAAGCAAAAATTGTCTTTACCTGTAACTAATCATGATGAAAAAGTATTAACAAAACAATTTAGAAAACATGGTGATTTATTTTGTGGAGGATCTAAAAGAGGGCTTATTGTCGGTTGTAGTGGTTCTGGTAAAACTAATGTAATGCTCACTTTACTCGAACATCCTAATGGTATTAGATTTGAAAATGTTTACGTTTATTCAAAATCATTAAATCAACCAAAATATGAATACTTGAAAAAACTTTTGGAACCTATAAAAGAAATCGGTTATCACGAATATGATAATGATGAAAGTATCATTTCTCCACAAGATATAAAACCAAATTCAGTTATAATTTTCGATGACATTCCCTGTCAAAACCAAAGTGTTATAAGAGATTATTTTACGCAATGTAGACATCAGAATACTGATTGTTTTTTTATATTTCAAGGCTACTCTTCAATTCTCAAACGTTTAATCCGTGAAAATACAAATCTTTTAATTTTATTCAAACAAGATTCTATGAGTATAAAACATATATATAATGATCATTGCATAATGGATATGACATTTGAGCAGTTCAAGAATATGTGCAGTTTTTGTTGGGAAGACCCATATGGATTTCTTTTAATTGATAAAGATTGTGCAATAAATGCAGGTAGATATAGAAATAAATTTGACACTTTCATATATCTATAAAAGTGCAATTTTCCACTATTTGTTCTTATTAAGAACTTGTCTAAGATGGATGAACGTTTAGCTAAGGAGTTAATTAAATCTAGAAAATCAGTGAGAGAAAAATATCATAATTTGAAACTAGCAAGCACGACAACACAATCACAATTGGAACAAACCTATAAACCAATAACAGAACCACTAAAACAACTAATTTCTACTATAGGTGAACCGATAGTACTGAAAGAAGAACCCTTTAGTTTAAAAGAAGAATTTGTAACACCAAAAAAAAAATACGAAACTTCAACACCAAGCAAACAGAGAATAGTTCGAAAAACAGGAAAAACTCCCATTTCACCATCAGAGACACCATCATTTCTTGATACTAGTGTTGCTTCTGTTAGTCAATTTCCTTCTATACAGGAAACAACTGTTTTAGCTGAAACTAGTCCTTTTCCAAAAGGTAGTACTAGTGAAAGTTTAAATTTGTCCGATATATTGGAACAAACTAAGCAATCAATTAAAAATTATATAGACTCCCCATCTTACCAAGTGTATTTGTCAGATTTTCATAAATTACCTAGATCCTATATTGATGGAAGCGTAAGGGATACAGAACATAAATTCGATCATAATTATGGAGTAGTTCATGATATTGATGGTGAAAAATTTTTTCTGGGTCTAACACAAAAACCCGTGAAAATAGTTGGTAAAAATATTGTAGTAGAGGGTAGAACTTATGAGGGTACTGTGGGTTTATACGAATTACTTTTTAAAAAGGAACCTGTTGGCTTCAAACCCAAAGATTTGGATAATTATATGGACATTTTGAAAATAACAAATGCATACCGTAGAAATAATGACCCCAATGAACAAGTTCAAGGAACCGCATCTACGAAATATATTACAATTATAGGTCCATATCTTCAAAAGAAAGGAATTACAAAATCTAAAACAATAAATCCCGTTAGACCAACTACTGCATTCGAAAAACCTATTGCCCCATATCGAATAAGTACTCGTAAAGTTACTAAAGGTAAAGGATTCACTTTAAAAATAAATAAAACAAACACAGACTATGTGTACTGGAATGATGTAAACGAACTTGTTGATAGACTGCGTTTTTTGGTAGCATCTGTTAATGCAGGCAATACTGCTCATCATAATGAAATTTTATCTATTATTGAGGAATTAAAAGAGGCTAATATTATATTATAAATATCAAAAACTACATAAACATTACAGTTGTTTATCATCAATCAATCATGACAGTTGATAAATTCGGTCGTCATATTTCGAAACGTAATTCAATGAATAAAACGTCACTAGAAAATATCGATTTTTCTACCGTTGAAAATACAATTTTAAACAACTTGAAAAAAGACCTAACTTATTTTGGAAAAAAAATAAATGAAGATTTTGAGAATAGATTAAAACAGGATGTGATTAATGTTAATAAAAGGTTGAATGAAAATGATGTAAAAATCGAAAATACTGCAAAAAAAATTAAGCTTTTTGAAAATGATTTAAAAAAAGACATTATTGATTGTAGTGCATCAACAAAAAAAAATTATGAAAAGCTAACAAAATTTGAAGGTGATATTGAAACAATAACAAAATATCATAATGATGTTATTGATTTGAAAAATTATTTTGAAACCGAAATAACAAAATTAAAAACATACATGAATGAAACATCAAAAATCGATAGTTTTCAAAAAAGCATAGAAGATAATCTCAAATTAAAATTTGAAAATTTTTCAACCAAAGTTTATGATAGAGTTACGAAAGAAGTAAAGTACTTCAAAAATAATCATGATAATATTGATAAAAATATAAAGCGCTTGGACAGAACTTCAAATTTAAATGCACTACTACGAAAAAAAAATACTGACGATATCGCATTTATAAAGGAGCAATTAAACACAATTTTGACACAAATTCCAAAGCTAACATCGATACAAAGTTCAAGTGAAGAAGAAGTACGTAATCTTAAAATTAAAATAAATGACATTGAAATGAATACTAAAGAAATTACTGACTTCAAAAATCAATTAAATAATATTTCATTGGACATTTCGAGATTGTCATCTCTACAAAATTCAAAGATGGAAGAACAACTGAAACTCACAACCCAAATTACTGAAATAAAATCGATTATCAAAGTGATTACCGACCTAGAAAATCAATTCAAGATTATTTCAATGAAAGTTTTAGATTTGGGAAAAAAAATTGATGAAATAAAAAATCTAAAGGTTGATGAAGACGTAGAGTTCAAAATTGATCAAAAAGTTGAACAAATTAGAAAATATGGAACCAAGGATATTCAATTATTAAAAGAAAAATTAAATACAATTTTATCACAAGTTTCAGAATTGTCTTTTACACAAATTTCAGGCAAAAAAGAAAAAGAACAGCTTAAAATTGAATGTGGGTATTAATAAAATAAATGAAACTATGGGAACCAAAATTAAAGAAATAATAATTGAAAATCTCAAAGCAGAAATTGCACAAGTGAAAGATAAAATTGAAAATATAAGTACAGCTCAACTAGACAAAGTAAATAATCTTCTCAATGGACAAAACCTGGAGGAAGTATCGTTGATAAAAAGACGGTTGATATTTTCTATTCAATCTACAATTCCAACTATAATTAAGAAATTAAATGAAGAATTGAAGAAAATAGAAGAAGAAGGATTAGGTGATGTCGAGAATAGAACAATTAAATATCTAAGAATCCACGTTAAAGATTGTCTTGATAATATAAATGGAGAAATTGACAAAATATTTGAATATTTAAAGGAAACAGATGAAAAAATCATGATTAATAAATTGGAAAAATGGGGGGAATCTTACAAAAGCTATTATGATAACTATTATTTAAAAAAATTTAATAAATGAGGCTACAAAAACAAATCATGATCAGTACTAACTAAATTGTCTACCGTGATAAAAAAAATGTAAAATGACTACCATTAAGGATCAAGTAGTTAATGAATTACACAAAACTGCTCGAAGAAAATATAAACGAAGAAGGGTGATTATTAAAGGGTTAAATGATCTCTTCGAGGCTGATCTGGTTGAAATGCAACCTTATGCTAAGTTCAATAAAGGATTTAAATATATTCTGATAGTTATTAATGCGTTATCAAAGTATGTATGGGCGGAGCCGATTAAATCAAAGTCCAGCAAGGATGTGACAGCAGCAATGAAAAAAGTTCTCATCAATGCAAAAACTACCCCACGAAATTTACATACAGATAGGGGAAGAGAATTTTATGGTCATCATTTTCAAAAACTCATGCAGCAATATCAAATTAATCACTACAGCACATTTTCAAATTTAAAAGCTAGTGTTGTGGAAAGAGTAAATAGAACATTGAAAAATAAAATGTGGAAACAATTCAGCTTACAAGGAAATTACAAATGGTTAAATATTTTACCAAAAATAGTGACTGAATACAATAACACAAAGCATTCTACAACGGGACTTGAACCGTCTAAAATATCTAAGAAAAACGAAAAGGAAATATTTTCAAACACTTACAAACGCATAAAAAGTATCGATCTTCGAACTTCAAAACTCAAAATCGGTGACTTTGTGAGAATAAGTAAATATAGAGAACTATTTTCCAAATGTTACACACCAAACTGGTCCAACGAAATATTTAGAATCAAATAAATTAAAATGACCAATCCTACAACATATATTTTGGAAGATCAAAAACAAGATGAAATTCAAGGTGGATTTTATACAGAAGAACTACAAAAGGTTCAAAATCCTGACGTTTATTTGGTTGAAAAAATTTTAAAACGAAAAGGAAACAAAGTGTATGTTAAATGGCTTGGAATGGATAACTCATTTAATTCTTGGATATTAAAATCAAATGTATTATAGAAGGCTAAATCAATAAAACACTTTTTTTAATTTTTATTTCATTATTGGAAAATGTTTTTCAATCCAAATTTGTGTTATTGAAAAATCCATTAGTATGAACTCGTTGCTGCACCAATCTTGATTAAGTCAAGGCTCGAGGGCACAGACAAAATTTCGATGGTACCTCGAATTAATTTTTTTATTTCAAGTCGATCTTTGGTCCGCGGCATCCGTCGGTGAAAGTTTCGATATAATCATAGTTAGTGGTGATTTTTTTTTTATAGCAGCCTGCTTGAGGATATAAATATTGAAACACAAGTGTAAGGTAAATTAAATAGTGCATTTATTTTTAAAATTAAACTTTAATCAATTAATCAATTAATCAATTAAAAAATTGATAATTACCTACCTACATTCTATAAGTCTAAATAATTAATAATAATAAAAATAATAATAATAACAAGTATATGAATAAGCTTAAATTAGTTCCATTAAATGTTTTTGTTCGGTTTCTTTTCTGAAATTTTCCTCAATTAAATGTTTTCTGCTATTAATTATATTTAGAAGTTGCTTACAGTATAAAACTTTTTTCGAATACATTTCCATTTTTTGCAAAATTTGCTTTTCAGTTTGATTTAGTTCATCTAGCTGAAAAGATTTTTCAGCTATGATGACAGCTTCGGCGTTCATTTCTTCATTTTGTTCCATTTCATCATCATCTTTATTAGCAGGACTTTCTGGACTTGAAATGTCAATAATCTCGATTTGAGATTTTTCTTCTGGACACAAAAATTTCTCCAGATCCTGGTTGATCTCGATTTGAGATTTTTCTTCTGGACACAAAAATTTCTCCAGATCCTGGTTGAATTTAGGATCTGGAGTCAATATTGATTCGATGGCTTTTTCGATTTCATCTTCGTTTTTCTGATCGGTTCTTCTTATTAAATGTTGTTTTATTATGATTTTGTTAGCACACATTTGGGCCAACTCAAATGCAGCTGGTTTGGAACACATAACTAAAAAAATTTAAAAAAAAATATCCTAGACTTAGGATTAATATTTATTTATACACTTATTATTATTATTTTTCTTTATTTAGACTTATTATTATTATTTAAACTTATTACTTGGACTATTGTTTAAATGCAACTATGCAACTGAATACTGGAAGATTTCTAGTCCGCTTTTATTGGAAGATTGTAACTTAGAAATAGGTATTTTTGATTTTTTTATTCAATTTAAACAGGGTGTATACACTAAATGATAAAATTCCCCCAAAGAATTTTAAAAACGAAAATATGGTGGGAACTAATTTTTGTAATTCAGTTACAAAATGTCATCTTTTCGACATTGATTTTAGTTGTCAAAAATGGTTCATTCTAACACAAACGTCAAAAATAAACAGTGTGTTCTAATATAGTGTTAAAATGAGAAGTGGTTCAACACATTGTGTGTAAAAAACACGCTCATTTTACAACTTGTTACATAAATAACTATTTTGCTTTGCAAATCTCGAAAGCCATTTTTTAGAACAAATATATTTCTATGTATTAAGTAAAAGTGTATGACACCGATAGAAAATAAAAGTTTAATTGGATAAAATTGGTTTGTAAGTCATTGAAAAATTTCACATGTTTAAAACCTCAAATAATAAATCCATAAAAATTTAGTAATATTTTGATTTCTGTAGCCCATGCATTGAAAGTTTTTCACCCTGTACTCTTAAGGTAATTCCATTAAAGTGCATGCAATTTAAATCTGGTCTTGAGATATAAATTATTCTATGCATACTCCCTACATAATTATACTGTCTGTAAAAATGCGATGATCGTTGAACCTAAATGGCCGTGAACATTTTTATGAAAACAAGATCCATTAAAATTTCTGCACTCCGTATATGTCTTCAATTTTATCTTATAATTAAACAACTTCATTGTCTGTAAAAATGCATTTTGTCGAGTTCATTCGTTGCACTTTAAATGACCATCATTTGGAGGTCGTCTGGTTTTAAACTTTGGAAAGAAAATGCAATAATTTTTTAAACGATTTGGCTTTATTTGAAATATTCATACATAATTGGATAAAATCATTTTATTACAATAATAACATTTTTCTTGTGAATCTGGTGGACCATCAAAGTGAGTTCTCCATTCTGATCTGTTGTGATGAATATGGCATGGTAACTTAATTTGAAGAATGAAGTTATTTTTGTAACTTATTGGTAATTTACCCCACGATTCCAAAAGTTCAAAGGGCTTTGCATGTTTCAATAAATAATCTAACGGAATTCTCAATAGTTCTTCGCTTGTAAAATCTGAGAGTAATTTTTCACCATTCATATGAGCTAGAACATTGTCTATAGAAGAACAACAATTCATTTTTGAGTTTTTCAGTATTGGTGATTGTTAATAACTTTACTATTTTTGCAATATAACTTTGATAGCAATTAAGCGTTAGGCGATTAACAATAACGGTCTGCTTTTAATTTTGAATCCTTTCAAGAGCTTCTACATCCCATGGAGTTTGCAACACTATTGAGGAATAAAAATTCTTATTGTTTAAATATTCTTTAATTTTCAAGAAAGTGTAGAGGTGGGTATTGGTTTGATAGCTGAAGCCTTTTGAGCGTGGGAATTTTTTGGTATCGTGGAAAAATCGGTGCCTTTGATTTGAAATTTTGGGAATTTGACCCGGATTAACCGTGGGAACTTTTTCGATAGCGTGGGAACTTTTTCGATATCGTGGGAAAATCGGATCCTTTGATCTGAAATTAGAATTTGACCTGGGCCAACCCCAAAATTTGTGAATCTGGTGAACCATTTACGTAGAAGAAGTCTGGGGGCACTTGAGCCAGCTTCAGGGAAGGGGGTTTACAGTGGTGGGTAGTGGTATGATGGCTGTGCTGGAGGGGGGTTTTACGTGGTAGAGGTGGGTATGTGGTCTGATAGCTGTGAAAGCACTCTACTAGTATTGCAAGCCTCACTACGTTCGGCTCGCAAACCTACCGCTTCAGCACAAAAAAGTAAAGCTTCTACTCGTAATACAACAATATACTATTTTCTCCAAACGTCAAAAAAACGTCACTTTGTTAACCCCTGTCAAGATGTCAGAAATTCAATTTCTATGCTGCTAGGTACATCCAGCGGGTTAACACCTGTCGAGGAGGTAGAAGTTTAATTTCTATGCTGCTTGGCAACCCCAGCGACAGCAAAAGTACTTTTAGTGCCGCTCGTACTTTTACTGCCGCTCAACCATCCACTTGCCTCCGAGCTTACCCCATTAGTTTAGAGAAAAAATAGCGTGTTGCATACGGAGTAGAAGCACTTTTTTGTGCTTCAGCAGTATTGCAAGCCTCACTACGTTCGGCTCGCAAAAACAATATACTATACTGTCGATTTTTTGTTTTCTGCCGTTTTACATCAGAGAAACAGTTGCAGTTGTAACAGTTGTAATTTTGTATGAATTTATAACATTATTTTTAAATATTGAAGTTATAGAAAAATTAAGCAAAATAATATATTTTCTTGCCGGTTGCAGGGGTTATTTTTTTCTATATCTTCTTAACCTGCCATTCCTCATCATCTTTACCTAACTAATTTAGTTTTTATTTGGTTATAGATACTGCAAATGGCAATGTTCAAAATAAATCTGCGGACCCATCAACCAATGCC